GTACGGCTCTCGCTTGGGTCAACCAAAGGGAAAAGGGAAGCTATTCAAATCGCATTCAACATATCAGATGAAAGCGAAATGCATAGCGCATTCCAAATAGGCGTTGATCGGAGCACAGAGGTCTGTCCTGTCATTTTCTGATCTCACGAATTTAGAAAATCTGTAACTATGATCTGACTCGATTCTTACCAGCAGTTGCTTCCCAGTGATAGTCAGCAGCATCGAATCTCGCATTCGTTAGCAGCTCCCAACCACCCAACTGTGAAATAAGAGATAACATCGGAACATTCCCCTGAAAACAACTTGTCGTATTACCAGATTTTTCCACTTGCTTGCAGCTGATATTGTCGGAGTGAGTTGGGGCGCTGCCAAGAGGGGCTGAAGCACGCCCAGGATCTTTTTTCCACCAGTAGTGACCGGCTGGTGATCGATTGGGGACGAAAACAAGCAGTGGTGAAAACGTCTTCGAATCCCTATTGAGATCGCTCCGGCTGATGCACTCCCCCCACCTACTCTGCTCAAATGAAGGCATTCTTCTTAACTTGAGTGCCTCTCAAACCGTTGAGCACTCTCTTAAACCTGTATCCATGAAGTCGCTCTTGCATGGACCTTGCATTAGAGGACCTTATAGTATAGAGATGGAAAGGAGGTCGTATTTAGCCTGTACGTTGGAGGCAGTCCGCATTTGATAAGAATCGGTTCGGTGTTAGCTTTTTATTCTATGCTTTCAGCTCCTATTCATTTGTAAAAGCAGTGCGCTTTATATTGTGAAAACTCGGAGTACCGTGAAGCAAGCGAGCCTATGTACACCAGTAAAATTTAGCTCATACGTTTAGACGAAGCAGAATGAAGCAATCCCTTCTTGTAAAAAGCGATCCGACGTTTTAAAGGCACAGTTCGCGACCGCAAATTGCGGGAAACGGAACTCAAATAGGCACAAAAAAGTGCTAAGTATCTGATTAGCGGAGAAAAGCAGCAGAAAAGCAGTCCGAAATGTTATAGAGAAAGATAACATAGTGGCTAGTAGCTAGTAGCTAGCAGCCGGTGAGGGTCCGGGACAATGGCCTAATAAGGGATGTCACATGGCCTGATTAGTCAGCTTGCTTAACGGAGTCTTTGCCGCTTTCACATTTTATGCAAGTGGCGCGGAACCTCAAGAAGTACCGCCCTTCACGGTAGATCACGGACACATTTGAGAGTCAAATACCTATTTTATCGCGGAATGTGCCTTTAATAGCAGGAGCCACTTTCCAAAAAAGGTTTCTCGTGAAGCAGTAATCCCAAAATACCGCGCAACAGAGCACGTTAATGAGTGCGCTTCTCCCGGAGGGTTGCATACGGATACTAAAGGTATAGGTTTTGTAACGCAGTGAATTCTTCGGATTCATCCCCCCTCCCCTTTTCCACTATCCTTTTCAAGGAAAGGTCCTTCTAGTTGGACGAAAAGTCGTGCGGGTGAAAAGGGGTAATAATGAGAAGCAGATTTTGCTCACCGCTTTCACAAGCCCTGGTTCACAAAGTTTTCATTTGTCGCTGACATCACTAAACATTTCAGAAGAACATTCTCACCAAGTTAGCCTGTGCATCTTCATCCATGCACGAATTGTAGTAAGTTCTAGGCAAAACCATAGCCTTCGTTTCTGCCTCTGGACTTGTATCTTCGAGTAATTCTAAAATAGTTCCCTCAAGGTACTATCGCGAGAGTGGATCAGTTGATGGACCAAACCTTTCAAGTGGAACCTATGCTCCTTTTCCACCTCGGAGAGTACGTTGACTTTCCTTTCGTGTTCTGGCACGACTCGATTGATGGCGAACGAACCACAGCCAAACGAAAAGAAATCCGTGCATGGATCCACATTACTTTTCATATTGTTGAGATAACTAGCAGCTGAAAAGCAGTTGATATGTGAGAGCATGAAGAGAGGATAGCTTGAAGAATTACCTAATCTGACGCATTTTTGTGACAAGCATAATTGCTGGTGTTGCGATGAATTTACAGTACAACTCGCGGAAGCTGTGGAAGGAAGGCTCTCAGCAGTATCACCTGGAAATCCACGATTTATGGGTTTCTTGAAGGGCAAACACTGGCAAATACTTTCCATTCAAAAGCTTATGCCTAACTTGAATCCTCAATTATGGGCAAATGTCTTGACTCTAGAAGGACAGGGACGGCTCTGTGGCGTAAGGATTAGCGCCCTCATCCGTTAGTAAGGTGAGGGTTCAACTCCCTTATGCGGTATTCTGTATACGAATATCGTACCCACACTTTACTTACGCTCCCTAGTCTTACAAAGCACAAACAGGAATATCGAAATCCCGCAGCGAACACGCACTCAGAGGTAGAAAACATCAGAAAAGCGAGAGCACACAGAA